GAAAATGGAGATAATTAAGAAGAAAAATAATGACCAACATTCCCCCAAATATATAGAAAGATAGAAACCTACAGATTCAAGAAGATCAGTGAACTCAAAATAGAACAAATTCAAAGAAAAGTACACATAGGCACATCTTAGTGAAACTGCTGATAAAAATAAAGAGAATAGTCTGAAAGCAGCAAGAGAAAATGATAGTTTACATATAGAAGAGCAGTGATTTAAATTACTGTGTAGTCTCATCAGAAGTAATGGAGGCAAGAAAACAGTAGAAAATATCTTTAAGTGATAACAAATGAACAAAGCCCAAACCATCAACCCAGAATTCTACATCCAGTGAAAATACTTTTCAAGAGTGAAAGTAAATGAAGATAATTTTGAGATAAAAGAAAACTAAGAGAATTATTTGCCAACAGAACAGAACAATAAGGAATGCTTAAAGAACATTCTTGAGGCTTAAGAGAAGTAATATCCTATAAAAAGTTTGGATTCTTAAGACAAAATGAGGAGTGTTATAAATAGTAAATATCTAGGCAAATATAAAAGACTATGTTTTCTTATTAATTTCTTTAAAATACATATGACTAAAGAAAAATTATAACATTGATTTGGCCAATTTGTAATGTATGTAAATGTCATATATATTGACAACTATAGCAAAAGGCAGGCAGAAGGGTAAATGGAACTACATAAATACAAGACTTCTACATTTTATGTGAAGTGGTATGGTATTAAGTATAAATGGACTGCAAAAAGTTAAGATACATGTTGAGATCCCCAGTAACAAATAAAAAAAATAAGTCAAAGAGGAATAACTAAGAAGGCAATAGATAAATTAGACAGGAATTACAAAAAAATATCAAGTACAGTAGCACGCTCCCCCCATCTGAGGTTTTGCTTTTCTCAGTATCAGTTACCCATGGTCAACTGTGGTCCGAAAACATTAAATGAAAAATTCCAGAAATAAACAGTTCATAAGGTTTAAATTGTGCACTGTTGTGAGTAGCGTGATGAAATCCCACACCGTCCTGCTCAATTCCACCTGGGAAGTGAATTATCCTATTGTCTGGTATCTCCATGCTATGTACGCTCCCTACCAGTTAGTCACTTAGTAGCTGTCTTGTATCAGATTTACTGTCCCGGTATTGCAGTGCTTGTGTTCATGTAATCCTTATTTTACTTAAAAAATGGTCCTAAAGCACAAGAGTAGTGATGCTGGCAAATTGGATATGCTGAAGAGAAGCCATAAAGTGCTTTCGTTAAGTGAAAAGATATGTATGGATAGGAAAGGTATGTACAAGTGTATTCATAGGGTTTGGTACTATCCGAGTTTCAGGCATCCGCTGGAGGTCTTGAAACGTGTACTAGTGGATAGGGGGGGAATGTATTTTGGTTTGGTTGAAAAATATGAAGACAATCTGGCCTTATATATAGCTGGAAAAGAGAGGAGAATATTAATAGTCTTTTAAAATATTTGTAGATACTTTTTCTCAATATTATACTAAAGCTCAATGAATCATGATTTTTGAAAGGTTAAGTGCAATGTGCAATCTGACACCATCTCAATGAACTCCTCATTTATTTTCCATTAAAATCCATTGGTATATCTTGTACTTTCCATGCTTTGTCATATCATGCATCTGTCTGTTAGAAAATATTTTTTCACTGAATTATGCAGATCTTCCAAATGTTCACTTATTTCAGTATGTAATATAATACTATATTTGTTGAAATCACCACCAATCTCATTACAAAAACCTTTAATTATTGGGAAGCTGTCAAGCTTACAGTACCAGATACAAGTTTTCAAAAATCTTATTGTTTTGAAAGTCTGAATTGTATTATTGGCAACAAATATCATCAGGTGTTTTCCTTGAAGTAACAGGCTCCCTTCATTCATTTTTAATAAGTAGCTGCCAGATACCCAAGTCTAAATAGCCAGAGTGTGTCAGTTGTTCCTTTAACTAAAATGGTAGCCCAGGGGAAATGTGGTTGGTTTAGCTCTCAACTCAATCTCAAAAGTGCTTTTCCCTGAGACAACCATGTACTCCAACCCGCAGCACAAGTGCTTTAAGTGAATTTCACGTTAACTGTACATATTTTAAAAGATGTGTACTTAAGTTAATAAAAAATAATTCTCACTGCTTCATCAAGGACCTTTTAAAATGAAACTGGCCTTTAAAAATGAAAAAAAGAAATTTACTAAAAGTGTGTGATGGTGAAGAATACAATGATTACCAGTGTGGTTTGGGAACACTTCCTCGCTTCATGAAAAGGCACCAGCCGCTTTACCCACCACTGCTTTTGCACCATCAGTGCAAATATGACACAGTGAAAAAAGCAAATAATGTCTTGGTATTATTAGGACAATAGACTTCACAGGACCCTGGAAAGGAGCTCTGGACTCTGAAGGATCCGGGAACCATACTTGCAAGACTGCTGCTACAGAGCATGAGCAATAGTATAAAAACACAACGCCCAACACTGTACCAGTCAGAGTGACTTTCTAGAGAAGATGATGCCCAAACTGATTTATGGAGGCAAATGATTTGGGTGCAGGTGGGAGGGAGAAAAGGGGAATAATAAACAGTAGGAGGCAAGATGACAAAGACCAATGGTCAGTTGGAGCATTGACTGATCAGGGAACTGCAATTCATTCAGTAGAGCTGGAGCAGAGGGGTAGAATGTGCTCGTAATTCTGAAGGCTGTGAAGGTCTTAAGGGATTTTAAGCAGGAGAGAGACAGGATCAACGTTTGCATTTTGGAAAGATTGCTCTGCGACCACATGCCTGATAAACTGTATTGAGGGCCAGGTAAGACTAGCTATGGGAAAGAGAAGAAGGAAAGACAGAAGGATAAAGGTGGTGACTTATTGGATGGGGATGGGTAAGGAAAAGCAAGAAGTGTTAAGGATGATGCCTAAAATCGAGGAGTAATTTTATTGGTTATCTGGGAAGACCATAATTTTTCCCACTATTTATAATATTTATTTAAACTTATTATTATGCAATATTTCAAATATTTGAGTATAAAAATAGAAAGATACAATGAAACTCCTTTCTTATTTATATTTTTATATTGCATATACATATATTTTAACATACATATTTTATATTGTATAATTTATATATTATAGTTGAACTGCATATCGACTCCAAATTACTCTGACAATACACTCTGCTGTGTGCATTTGCTGATACAAAAAGAAGATAAACATATAGCTTGATATCAATTCTAGATTGTACAAGTGTCTTCCTTCCCCCACTAGAATCCTCATTCTACATCATTGCCCTCTTTCTTAAAATTTAGTCATTCTACAAGAGTCTCAGGTTTTAGTCTCATATTCTTAGATGACTTCATCTATTTCCATAACCTTACTTATCAGCTCCATTCTGATCCATGCTCTCTTAATATTACTCCCACATGGGCCAGTGATGCTGCGCCCGAGCTGAGCTGTCACTGAGCTGCCAACAAGTGGCAGGATGGCACAGCTGGTGTAACAACAAGACTGCCTGTTTGATGGTGGGCTATGCCCACCTGCAACTAAGACTGAACTTGGCACCTTGAGCAGAGCTGCCGCCTGGATGGCTCAGTGGATAGAGTGTGCGCTCTTAACAACAAGGCTGTCGGGTTCGACTTCTGCATGGGATGGTGGCTATGCCCACCTGCAACTACGGCTCAACATAGCCCCTTGAGCTTAGAGGCCATGAGCTGCCAATGGGCAGTCACCCTCCACAACTAAGATCGAAGAACAACAACTTGTCTGGTCCCCTTCCCCAATTCCCCAACACTATTCCCCTCCCCCAATTCCCCCCAAAAATCTTTAAAAAACAACAACAAAACAACTTGCACTCTGATCTAAGATACATTCAGACAGCCTCTTCAAAATGTTCTTCTGTTTGGAAATATGATATTTAAGGATAATCATTTCTATTTGATTAATATTTTGAAGAAGTTTTAGAATGTTCTCATGAACAGAATGAAATTATAGGTAGTGGAGTTCCTTGAAGGGTACTTAGTGACATGCTGGAATAGCTGTCTCTGTTTTGGTGACTATCACCTACATAATCGGGGTCGGTCATCCAGAATGAAAGCCTCTTCTTCCTTGGCCTTGCTGGAGAAACATGATCACACCATTTTCAATACTTCTCCTTTTTTCTTCACTTATTATTTGGGATCCAAATGTTTTGTCACTGTAGCTTTCTTTCATGTTATCATTAATTGAATCTGCACTTTTATATTAATTAAATAGAATATTTATTACTTTAGAATGCAACAATTCCATTGATGAGTATCATTTTAGTAACATTTTAGGGAGCGTCATATGCTCTTTACAAACAGTCCAGCTTAATCCTCAATACAGCAAGAACACCAGTATCTCCCCAGGTCAATTCCTTTCAAGATTTTAATGAATAGCTAAATAATGTCTAATCTGATTATGTCTGATAATTCTCAGATTACAGTTCAGAGACTGATATTTTCATTTGAACAAATGAACATCTAACTTTCCTCCAAGAATCATTGGATACACTTAACAAGACCAAGACTATGAAAGGTACAGTGATGTGTTAAGACTTGACCTCAGAAGATGGCAAGCATAGCAGGGGTAATTAAACATAACATGATTCAATAAAAATTGATATTTGATTAGTGATTTATAGACTTTAAAAAAAGTGGATGTTACACTCACATCCTGCGACAGTGGCAGGCAGATGCTGTTTTTCCTAAATGAAGATGTAGCAGCTGAGCCTCAGACCTTCTCAACTTTACCCTGATAGTCAGTACAATAGCTGGGACATGAGCCCAATAGTCCAGTGCTGCCACTCTGCCAAAGGACATTAATGTGTACAGAGTGATAATTTCAATAGGATGTCTCATAAATTGTTACATGATTTTAGAGACTTCCTAACTGGAAATATCAGAGGTGGCTTCTTGGAGGGGATGGATTTTCAAGTGCCTCCTAATTAGTGACTGCAGTCTCCCATATGAGCTCACATTGGTTATGAGGTGCCTCTGCTGCTGAACAGTTTCCTCAGGGCAGCCTTCATGTCCCTATTTCTCAGACTATAGATGAAAGGATTTAACATTGGGGTCACTGCCATGTACATCACAGTTATCACAGCATCCTTTAGACTGTAGCTAGTCAGAGGGTGGAAATGCGTGCCCATGATTGTCCCATAATACAGAGAAACAACTGTGAGGTGGGAACCACAGGTGGAGAAGGCTTTGAGCACACCCTTGGTAGATGGAACACGTAAGACCACGGAAAAGGCCCAAACATAGGAGATGATGATGTATAGTAAAGGCACAGAGAAAACACCAACCCCTACATACATCACCTTCACATTAAAGTGGGTGTCAGAACATGACAACTTGAGCAAAGGAATAATGTCACAGTAGAAGTTGGTGATTTCCTGGTTGCCACAGAAAGACAGACTAGCTGTAAGCAGAGCGTGAGGAAGGGCATTAGCATTTCCAACCACCCAAGACCCAACGACTAGCAGGACGCAAGCCCTTGGGATCATGATTGTTGTGTAATGCAGTGGGCGGCTGATGGCCACTGCACGATCATATGCCATTGCAGCCAGAATGTAGCTATCTGTAGTTCCCAAAGCAATCATGAAATACATCTGTGTGAGGCATCCCCAAAAGGAGATGGTTTGGGTGCTCAAGATATGGTTGGTCAGCATCTTCGGGATGGTTACAGAGGAGAAGAAGATGTCAACAAAGGAGAGGTTAGCAAGAAAAAAATACATGGGACTGTGAAGGTGAATATCAGAGCAAATGGCCAACATGATGAGCAGGTTTCCAGTCAGTGTGATGAGGTAAATTAGCAGGAAGAGGATGAAGAAGAAATCTTCCTGTTGTCGCTGACTGCTAACTCCCAGGAGGATGAAATCCAGGGTAGAGGACTGGTTTTCTTCCCTCATGGTTCCTTTATTAAGAAAGGGGAGAAGAATTCAGAATTATTAGTGAAGTTACTGTGTATCATGATCTTCCTTATCAAGCAGTTTTTCTCAAGGGGTCATCCATCTCTACAATTGAGTTTACTAAATCCAGAGAAAGCCAACATTTTGGGGAAATACCCTTGTTGATCAGTGGGACTGAACAACAGCCCGGGACACTCTAGTCTAAGAAGCAAACAATCTTTGAGTCAGAAGTGCCCATCCTCCCCCATCCTAGCACCACCATCCAAACACCTAGCATTTAATCAATTAACAGACACTTAACTTTCATATTCTTTCTATTGCATGTGCTTTGTTGGGCTCATGGAAAAATAAAAAATATGTGAAAAATAAAATTTATTAATCTATTCAATATGTAAGGCATAGCCTCTGCTCTGAGGGACCTTACAACTTAATGGAGAAGCCATAATCACATGTTAATTTCATTACACATGATCTGGAAAGAAAAGTATTGTGGAGTCTTTGACAAAATACACCAGTGCAAAGGTTGTGTTAATGCAAGGACTAGCCTGGAGTAAGAAACTGTTCCACTGACCAAACTCATAATGATCCCAAAGCCCGGGAAGTAACAGGTATCTACACTGACATTGAAAGATTATAAATCACCAGGACCACTGAGCTGACATCCTAGCAAAAACAAGTTTAGTCACTTTTCTACCCAAGGGTCCCATTCCCAAAAATGACTTTAATCTCTTTGGAAAGCTCTCTAACATACATAATTGCAAAGCTTTTCTCTGCAATTTTCTCTTTATTATTTATTTTGGTGACTCATCCATATCCATAGTCACTTCAACTACTGCATAGCATACTCACAGGTCTAAGTATACCTGTAGGCTTGATGTCTCTTTCCTATATTTCTACGTTCAGGCTTCCTGCCAACATGTCTGCCCAAACTCCCTACTTTGCACATCCTACCTAAATAGTTTGCAAGATTTTTTGAAGAGGAAAACCATACTTTATTTTAATCGCCCCCAGAGAGATCATTGTGACATATTGTTTGTTATATGAATCAATAAGTTTGCACTCAGTATTTCTTGAGTTAAATCAAGGTTTATGTCTTGAGTTCCCCACACCTGGGATGCTTACAGACACACTCACCCAGTTTACCCTTCACTTATACATCTGATCTTGTTGATTCTTCATTTAAAATAATTCTTAACTAATGTAACTTTTCTACTAATGCTTATTAGCTCAGAGCTTTAGCTTAGATCATCGTCTTTTTCTACCTGAAATGTTGTAATGCTCCCCTAACTGCTTGACTATAGATTCCCTCCTTTTTGATCCACTTCTACTTGAGGCATATTAATTATGGCAGAGACCACTAGCTACTCATCCAAACCCATGTTGTTCTCTGCTTCCTGGACACACATTAGACTGCATTTCCAGGTTCCCTTGTACTGAGGTGTGGTCGTGTGACTGAGTTTTACCCCCTTCCATGTGTTCCAGTTCTGGGCTTCCTCCATACTCTTTTTGCCCTCATGACAACTAGATGGAAATGTCCAAGAGAATGAGTGGGTTGCTGAAGTGCTTGTGTCCCTAGTTCTCTACATCCGGCAGAGCCACCCACCACCAAGGATACCCACTGGGACTGTTATGTAAGAAAGATATGAACTTTTATTCCGCTTAAACTATTACACATTTTGAGATGTATTTATTACTGTAGTCCAGGATATCTTAAAGAATTCACTAATTTTTCTAAAGAGAACTCTATTCAATAAGTAATTCAATCGATAATTAATTCAATCACTAATTCTCAGTATCTCCTATAGCGCATGTGTGAACTATATGCTAGGCATAGAGGATGCAGATCTAAGTATTTTTCTCCTAAATCTGATGTGCTTTCCCATCTCTGAACCAAAAGGAAATTGGTATTCTTTCTTGAAATACTTTTCCCTATCTTCGCACAAAATCATAGTATCTTAAGGCTGAGAGGCCTCCATAAAGCTAAAAAGCTCAGCGACTATGGTTAGTTTATATGGTGTGGAACAGGTCCCATTCCAATTAAAACATATAACAATTCTAGATAAAATTTAAAACTAATACAATATGCATATAGCCAAACATAAAAGAAAGAAATGGGAATACTTAGGTATGAAAAACAAAAAGAATGCTCAGAGCAAGAGTTGTAAAACAGCTGATGCTGTTGTGGCAACTTGCGTTTTCCAACTGCAAACAAGGCCAGAAAGGCTGGGGTCTGGTGTGTAATTCCCCTTTGGTCAAGGAGATGTGGCCACAGGTGTGTATGAAGTAGAGAGCTAGTTTGAGTCCTCTGTGTAAAACATGTGAAGTACCACCCTATTTGTGAAATAAGACTAGACATTATTTTTGTTATGTTAGAATTGGAAAGGAAAGAACAAAAGAATAAAAAAATCACAAAAATCTAATTGTCTACAAAGAAAACCCCAGAGAATCTCTAGGTCAATCAAGGATTTCCATGGGAATCTCTAGAGATATCAGCAAGTTCATTTGATATAAACCAATCTTCATAACAATCAATAATACTGTTCTTGTACTTAAGCAATAAAAATTAGAAAATATAATTTTTAAAAAAGCTCATTCACACTAGGAATAAAAATATTAAGAAATCTGGAAAGAATTCTAATAAAAGAGGTCCAACTGGTTTAAAAAATGTCAAAACTTTACTAAAGGAAGGAGAAGAAAAGAATTGCTAAGACAATGAAGATAAGCAATGTTAATGATAAGACTTACTGTGGTGAAAATGTCAGTTCTCTTCCAATTAATCTCTGAATTTGATGCAATGCCAATCAAAATACTACAGGTTTCTTTTAAACATGAATTTAGCATGCAGAAGAATAAGGAGCCAATAGCAGCTAAGACAACTTCAAGATACAGAATCAGGAGAAAATAATGGCCCCGTCAGGTATCAAAATGATTTACTATGGTAATTCAAATAGTGGAGTAGTACTGATGTAGGAAATGAGAAATAGTTGCATGCAACAGATTAGAGAGACAGACCAGATGCAGCATTTATTAGCACTTATGTGACATAAGAAATGGCAGGGAAAGGATTGACTGACCATTCGAAAGAGCGTGAGAACAACAGGATACCCATATATGAATACTGAAAAATAATCCCTAAAGGATTAATTGTGAAAAGCAAAACTTCAAAAAATTTAGAGGAACATATAAACATATCAAATCAACAAGTACTCCTTAAACTTTTACAGTGTTATATGTCAATTATGTCTCAACAGAGGTGAAAAAAATAGAGGAAAATATGTTCATGATATCAGGAAAAGAATTAATTTGTTAAACCAGCAAAAAACACACAAAAAATAAGAAAAATGTATTACCCTCTGACTACTTTAAATTTAAAACATTTGCATGAAAAAGACTATAAAGAAAAGGGAAAGAGAAGTCATGGACAGGAAAGAAGTGTCTGCTACACACATAATCAGTAAAGCATTAGTATTCAGAATACGTAAGCGTCCCAGACACTGGTAAGAACAGGACCCAAAATAGAAAACTATGGGCAACTTGTTAGAATAGATAAGTCATAGGAGAAGAAGCTGGTACAGCCAAGAAAGAAAAGAAATAGGTTGAACTACATTAAAACAAAATTTAACAAGGAATAGTGGAGAAAACATACAAAAGTGGGAAATCAGCCTGGAAAAGACGTTTGGGGTTATATTGTGGAGAATTTTGAACCAACAGAAAACCTTTGTACTTTATTTGTTACATACCAAAAATTAGTATAGTGGATGTAAATTGTACTACCCTTTTTGGTAACAGAAATATGCAACCTTTAGTTAATAGAAGCACTTGGGCATATAAAATGGCTGATGAATAAGGCAACATTTTGAATGACAATCTGGTGCAAGGACAACAAGTTGATGTGTTTTAAAAAAGAGTTAATAAATGTAAGAAAACACTGCACCAGAAAAGAAATGGTTGGTTAAATGAATGCAACGTAAGGAATACAATCAATGGAATTGTAACAGCTATATGATGTCAGACTGTCAGATGGGTAGTAGATTGGTGGGGAGAGGGGAGTTATCACTTTGCGAGGGGTGAAATGTCTAACTATTACATTGTTTTTGTACATCTGAAATTTAAAAAAACCTTATTACTTCTTAAATGGATTATATGACTAAATAAGCATATGCATTAAAAATGCAGACATTGAGAGAGAGATTGAGGGGCGGGGGGTGGCAAAGAGAAGATTCTGAGCATGGGGACTTCAGAATCCTGTGTTAGATGTTAAGATGCTGTCACAGGGAGAGATGACTTCTGCTGAAACCTTGAAGAGAGAGGTAAAAGAACCATATGTCCCCAGAAAGAGGAGCCAGGAAATCCATCAGCATGGATGCTGGAGACAGAGTGAGAGAATCAGAGTTCCAGGCAATGCTGAGCCACTAAAATCCACTTTCCTGGAAAGTGTCTGTACTCTGAGATATCCGTCACATGAGTGTGACAGTCCTGAGGACTCTTTTTCAGGGACGCAAGAGGCCAAATACATCCCCTTGCCATTGTGGTTAGCAGACAAGACCAAAGAAATGTCCAAGTATTTTGACCCATCTATGTTTTGATAATAAAAATAACATAATTTTCTAAAGGGGCCGGTTCGCATGCACTGTTGAATGTGGAAGTGCAAGGTGGGTTAGTAGCTCCTCTCTAAGAAAATGGGTTTGTGCTAGTGCACACACACACACACACACACACACACACACACACACACACACACACACACTATTAGTTCATGAAATTGAGAGTTCAGGACTGAGATAACTATATCAAAATTACCCCTTCCTCATCCTGTTTTCATAGATAAGTTCCCAAGAATAACCATTGTCAGAAGGGGAGTTCTTGCTCCTCTCCTCCCCTCCCCTTCCTTCGTCTTCCCTCCCCTCCCTCCTTCTCTTTTCCTTCTGTTTTGTTTACCAATCTTGGGACCTTGGGTTCTAGAGTCAAGGCATGTGTCCTAGTTTCGCCGGTCCCTCTCT